ATAGCTTCGTCAAGTGTCAATATTTTTAATTGTACTATTTGTAATATAGTTTTTATTACTCAATATTTTTTTTTTCAACATATTAATACAATTTTTATAATTTTAGAATATTATGCTTTATCATATTTATTTATAATCTACGTCATAACACATTGTTAGTGCTATTAAAATATAATATCTATACTTGAATTCTACTTATATGTACATAATATCTATTATGCAATAATTATATTACTGCTATATTTTATCCTGTCTATATAATTTTTATTTGATATGACATCTATTAGTTTCTAAAAAAAAAAAAAAAATGTACACATCAGTAGGTTTAGATAGCTACCTAGCTATGAATGAACGCCTTAAATATAAAAATATTGGTTTTTGGATATTTTAACAGTGATATTTTGTTGGAAATTTGTTACTAACTAAATTGACATCATTTATAATTTTCTATTTCGATTTTGAGTGGACTCAAATGTGTGATGAATTTATTAGTTTTTGAATGATGGATATTTTTTTATGTATCTATCGTCACTTATCACCTTTTAGAGAAATGAAAATTTTTTCAATCTTTAACTTCATAATAGTTTCTATAGTAAGATTTCAATAAAGGTTATTACCATCAATGTTCTATTATCGGTATTTAAAATGTTCGACACTTTTGTTTTGGTTTTTATTTTAAAAATATTTTCAAGTAAAAAGCTTAAAAAATTAATAAAAGATTTTTCATAGATTAGTCTCACATCATTCTTAAAATATCAAAAAACAATTTTTTTGTTCACATTTTAAATTTTAATCTTAATTTAATTAAATAGATAGATAGGTTGATAGGTATTAAATAGATATAACGATTTAAATTATTGTACAAATTATTACAATATCAAAAATATTAATCGAGGAATTTGAAACTTTTTGACACTTTGTTTATCATTATTTTCTGTACACAATGACATTATCAAATTACTTAGACTAATTTTAATATATTTATACCATAAATTTAGAATTACTTAAGAAATCAACATCAACAATATGTACACGATATAATAATATTACAATTATTATTATAAAAAGTAATTAAACCTACTGTTTTATTAGTTATTAAGAGTAATATTAATTATTAACTCAGGGATTCGTCTTTATAACTCATAATAAAATTGTTTTTCATAATAATTTAATAAAAAATATTTAATACAGCATCCATTTCAATCGTAACCTACTCAATGATGAACGATACACTTAAAACCTACCAAACTGAAGAGTGACTTCTCAGGTTTTTATTTATTTATTTTTTTTTTCTGTAAGAATGATAAACTTATTACAAAGTTTATAATAATTTAATAATTATATAATTATTTTAATAATATTTTAACTTTAATAACATTTTATATGTTTTTTTTTTTATTCAATTTTATTTATAAACAGTAGCTTGTAAGTTTAGTATAAAATATTTTTATCTAAAGATATAATTTTATACATTTAATTTAGTAAAACTTTACACGTACTTTCACTGCTAGTAATGTTACTATAAATTATAATAATTACAAGAAACGAAAAGTTATAAATATGCATAGTACCTATGCCACCCATGTTATAATATAGAATAATCCTATATTAAACATAATTAAATAAGTTGCATATTAAGTTCTATAACAGAACCAAATTTAAGGTACCTATAGTAAATAATATACATAATAATATTGATTTTGTATTGTTATAATGTTCTTTGTATTGATTTATATAATAAAGTCAGTTACCTATATTATGCAGTGTGTGATATTGCTTAACTTGCAAATGATTATGGGTTGTTCAATCTTAATTCAATGACTTTACGTGAATATGATTATCGTATAGCCAATAATTCAAACATATAGATATATGTATTTATTTTCACTTTTTTGCATTTCACTTCGAATAACTGTTTTATGACCTATACCAATTTGTTTTGCATTTTTACTGATTTAAATTTTTAGTCTATTAACCTTATGCTGTTCTCATTCCTACACTTACATTAGTGTATATTTATTTTCTACATGGAAGGTAATCGGAAACGCTAACGCGGCATGTAAATAGAATTTTTTTTAAAAATATCTTTTACTTAAAAAATTAAGAAAAAATTCCTATCAGAATGTTTTTTTTTTATTTAAAGAACTTAATATATGTAAATAGTAATGGTCACATTTATATAGATACAATATTTTAAATTATTAATGTATGTTTTTTTAACATCACTAATATACTTTGGCAAAAATATTTTAACTAAATAAATTAACATATTTTTTTCCAGGTAATTTGTATAACTACGATTTAAATAAAATTTATTACAGTTTGAAATAATTTATTTTCAATTTAATATTTATAATATATTATTTTACTACACAAGAAATATTGCACAAGTCATAAACTTTTAGTCTATAAGAATATAAAATAATTAATTTTGTTACTATTATTTTTATATTTTATACATTTATAGTTTCAAAATAGTGAAAAGTTGGATAAATATTGCACGTATGTTGCAATTTTTGGTGATAAATTTGAAAGTAATGTAGCACTTTCATATTCTAAGCAATTATTTTTTCATGGTATATATTGTTTTTATTTTACAGCATTATCATTTATCAATATTTAACTAGGTATACTTACGTTAATATTTTGATTGGTTTATATCGTTATATGCATATAAATACTAATTTAATTTAATTTTTAATATTTAAAATATATTTCTTAACTAAAAAAAAAAAAAAAAAATTAAAAAATACCATATTTTTTAATTAACATATTTATGCCAGTTTTGTTTCATAAACGCAATCCAAAACTTTCTTTTCACACTTGATTTTTATACTAGAGATTTAAAGTTATCAAAGTTGTTAAACAAAAATTAAAATATCTTTACCAAATACCAATTTATAATAACTTCTATTTAGTTTGAGTATAAAAGTAATAAACAGTACATAATTGTATTTTGAGTCAGCAGTTCAAATTCAAAGCGGATAAAACTACAATGGTGAATATTGATTAGTCAATATTATTAAGAAAACATATTCAATTATCAATTTATAAATTATATTAACATTCGATAAAACTGTTGATAAAAAAAAAAAAAAAATCTGAGAATCATTAATATATAATATCCATTCATGATGTACATTTTATTGATATGTTTATATTATATGATTAATAAATAAATATTTATTCCTATTATCTATCTTTTTAATAAATCAAATGACTAATAAAAATTTTATTTATATCATAAATTATTGAAAAATTGATGACTATGCCTATATGAGATTAAATATAATAAAAAAGATTAGTGCAAAACAATAAAAATAATGTACTTTTTAATGTCACATTTAGGCATTTAGTGAGGATATGATTTATTGACCCTTAGATTGTAGAATAGTCATAAATCAATATCAGGTACAAAGGTTAATATTTTAAAATTTACTTTTAAATAAAATTAAAATCAATATTTATTTTTATTATATTAATTTACAGACAATAGACTGAGATTTATATTTGAAGTGGTTGGTGCAACCACTTTATTTTTAAAATTTTATATTATTAACATATTTAATCAAACAATATTATTTGTAAATATTTAATATAGTTTTAATATATTTATTCAACACACACAAACATACACACATGTATCAATAATAAATAAATAATACTTTATTTAAAACACAAAATAAAAGTTTACTTTCAATATTCCTGGCACGATTTAAACAGTCATACTTATCAATTGATATAATATGTTTGTAAATAAAATATCAATTGATAAAAATTTCAACTATCCCATTCATGCGATTAGAACTGGGAGTAGAAATTATTACACTTTTTAAAAATATTATATTTATTATTTTAATTAATTATAAATTATAATTATTGTATTTAATTACTCAAGGATAAATTAGTGCGTGGCAATTTTTATTTAACTTATATACGAAGTATAAAGAGGTAAAGGATACTACATACTTTGTATTAAAGGGAACTTCTGCGTCGTAACATAAAATAAAAACAGAAAGAGAATAGATTTTTTCTTTTGGAAATGTAATTTACAAAATGTCATGAAAAACATATTTAAAGATCGTTGGCGATATTTATTTGTGCAGTCTAAGGTTTTTTATAGGACCAATTTGAAACATATTTTTTGTTTCGGCTTTTTATAACAACCAACGTAAAATATATTCTTTAAATCTATAAATTTAAAACATTATTTTTTCGTTACTCCTTTTCGAAGCGTACCTAATAATATTACAACTTTACGACCAAGTTTTGCAAAAATATTTCCGTATAAATAAGTATAAACTATAATGGGTATATATATATATTGTATACATTGTCATAATAATTTTCAGATAGGAAAATATAATATAAACACTACATTATTCTAAATAAATTATTAACGGTTTGACTCGATTCTATTATAAATATATAATACCTAGAAGTTAAGTAAATATGTATGTGTAGGTACTAATATATGTTTTGTAGACGCAATCAAATTACATCGAAGAAATAAAAAAAAAAAATCGATTTAAACATTTCGTGTGCACGTCTCGCGGTCGACCCACCGATATAGACGATATAGTTGATGGGGAACGGCAAGATATTTTTTTCCCAACTTAAATTAGCAGGAGCTCGGATGAAAAGTAAAAACCCATGTCGGTGCCCGAGACGGCAGTGGTGAACTGTAGGAGACGGTTTCCCAGACACGGGAATGGTGGATAATCGGGTTGCAGTGGCGGTGGGAGGGTTGGGTTGTCGGTTTCTTTCCAGTCAAACGCCAACGCATTAATACACACACTTTTCTTTAAGGACAACGTTTTCCCAGCGGCAGTAGCGGAAAATGACGTCGCCTCCGCTGCCGGTCAACTCTCAAACTCGCCACTGGGAGCGCAGCCGGACTGAGAGACTGTTACGGCGGCGGCGGCGGCTACGACGACGATTACGGAGCGCTTGGCACGCACCAGCCGCGTCGGTCGAAGGCCCGGGAGTTGCCAGTCGTCCGCCGTCTGTGCAGCACGTCGTTACTCGTCGTTGTCGTGCGCGTCCGCCGCGTCCAGCAGCTGAAACGCACGCACACTTGCCCAATTCCCTCCCCCCCTGTATTATCCTCCGCTCAACAACCCATCAAACGGTCGTGCGGCGCCGCGCCGCCCGCCCCTTATCAGCGCCACCGACGTCTCACCCGGTGGGCACGTCGCCGTCATTGGTTTCGGTTTTTTCGACTCGTCAACACGAATCTTCTCCTCATTGACCGTTTCCGCGTCGTCGATGCCATAATCTCCGGACGTTTCGCGTCCGCCGGCGCACTCGCCGCGAGTCCCCCAACACTTTCGACACTTATAATATTATCGTTATAATATTACCACCTACCGTTGTCCATATTTCGCACCCATCGTTTTATCGTTCATTTTACGTGCCTACCTATCTACCTGTCTACCTGTACTTAAACGCACGCCTGACCCAATTGTACGCGGCACCGGAAGACCCTGGACACCACGTCTTCATAACAACTTCCCGTGAGTACCTACACCAGCTGTAATAATATTATACCGACCGATAAGCGGTCTCGTTTTGACATTCACACTAATATTATTATATATAATTAATACTTACTATTATTATTATTATTTTGTATTTTATAATAACAAAAGGATTTTCTATTTTTATTGTATGTTTGTCTTTCTTTGGTAAGTTATTGGGCATTTACTTTAACGAGGGAGACGTAGATAATAAAGGGTAGATGACTAGGTATCTAATAAAAATATTTAAAATATTTGAATTTTAACCGTTTTACGTACCCGCGGCATTATATATTGACCAGTAGAAACATCGAACTAAAACCGGTAAGGATAAAGGCATTCATATTTTATTAGAGCACGTGTTCAGTATTTATATGAAAACAAATCATTTAAATCTCAAACAAAATTTAGTAAATTTGATTCCGTCATAAAAAAAAAAATCGTTATTGTTTATTTTTGACATACTTAGTATAAGCGAAAGGTTATTCGGCCTTAAAAATACGTTACTATAGTTGAGAAAAAATTAGCCGTTAAATATCACTTTTGAATAATTCTATGTAAATTGTTATTGAGTACAACCGATAAATCAATTCTGTTTTCTCTACTCCTGTATTAAAATGTTGATACTTTTTGACATAATGGTTTGTATGAGGTATCTAAGAGTTATGTAATTATTGTCTCTTGATTAAATATAATTTATTGTATGGTTACCCAAAAATAATTATTACTTGGTATCAACTATCAACTAACAACAATTTGTAAATATTTTATCATTATTCAATTATTTATATTAATGTCATTTCCGGGTACTTCTAAAGTTGGTACAAGTTTAATCCAGGTATAGAATATAAATACTTAAATTGTATACATATTACTAAAAATAGAAACGGTGAAATACTCATGCATACAAATGGCTTTGACGTTATAACTGAGTTATCAAGAATTTTCTAGTATTTGCTTTTTTCAATAACTTACCGAAGAATGTTTCAATAACAAATTTAAAAAATAACATTATCAGGTATTGCACAAAGATTTTGGCACGTGTTCTATCATCATACTAATATACTTCCTAACGATATTTTGTATTATCATTAATACTAATGAATTTGCGTAATTAGAAAACCGTGGTTTACATTTTATTATCAACCTACATATTGTATTATTGTAGTACGGTACTAAATGCATAATAAATAGTAAGTCTGTAGTCAAAATTTAAAAAATTCGCTGTCTATAAATCTGTACAACTAATAAGTTTTTTTTTGCAATTTTCTACAATATATTATAACTATGTGTATAGAAGAGGTGACCCCCCCCCAATAGCCCAATAACCGTGTTCAGAGTTATTTCTAGAAACATTGTTATTATGAGAGGTATTCGATTTTTAAATTATATTTTAGACAATGATACATAACTAAAAGGTAATAAATTAATTTTTATTAGGTACTTGAAATTGTAATAGATTAAATTGAGTTATAATATGTTACCGTTTTAAATTTTAATCAACAATCAAAAATTCGATATACTTCCTTATTATTCAGGCAAAATAAGCAACTTAATCGGTACTCATTTTAATCTATTAGAACTTTTAATAGAGAAAAATAATTAAAAAATATTGATTTATTTTTACTCACGAAATTAATTGTATAATTTTCTAATTAAGGTTACTTAAGAGCTAATGTTTGACAATTTAATATTTGTTTAATAGTACCTATATTTATTATGTAAGATTATGTTTAGTTTACACAGCTATACCAATGTATTAGGTATAAAAATCGAAAATACTTAATATAAAATGTAATAATCAGAGTAATACTTTTTATATATGTTTAATAATATACATTTTAGTTATCACGTTTTTCATTTTTTACGCTTCATATAATATTTTAAATGCATAACGCCTAACAAAATAACTAATTGGCTTATTTATTATGAATTTATGAAATATTTAACAAAGTTTGATAATACATTTTTTTATTTATCCTTTATATATTGCATTTTAAGAAAAAAGTTCAAAAGTAATTTATTACGTTTATGTTAGATTAATTTTTATGAATAAAATAATAATGTTTCTTAATAAGTACATTTTAACTTAGATATAAGAATCTATTGATTTGTTTGGGCACTGTAGAAGATTCTTATACAACGGACTACAGCCAGACAAAATAACATTTATTTTTAATTTTTCACTTTTCATCTTTAAGAATTAACATAATGTACCGTAAACGTATTATGGATTAATTAAGAATTACACAAAAATGCGGGATTAGTTGGGATTGAAAACAATCTAAAGAAAATATAATTTTCTGAATGTGTTTTAAATATAAAATTAATTTACGTTGTATATAATTTGTTTTATACAATTTATGTGTTAATATGAATTTCAGTTTATGAAGTTGTGAATTGTCATATTATAATTTTACTGATATATTTCTATGCTGGAGTATATTATAATTTTAATTTTTATATGTTATTATATCTTAATTATTCATTATTTTATTTTTTAAAACATCATTTTTAATGCAGAAATTATATTCTTGTTCGCAATATATTATATTCTTAAATTTATTTTCTACTATATTAACAGTTTTTGACCGAAAAGTGATTTCATTGATGGTAAAGATAAATTGTTTTTATTATAATTTTGTTAAGAATACAGTAGAAACAAAAATATATATGAAAAGTAAAATTTAGGGTTTTTAAAATAATTAAACAAAAATATCTTCATCATACAATACTTTATTATGTTTAACTAGTTATATTTTTCAATAGTTATTAAAATTCTTAAAAAAAAATAAAAATGTATTGGCTATAATTTATGATGTCATTATATTATGTTACTAACATTATTTGGTCGGTTGAAATCTGTTTACCAAGGTCAAGTTATAATAAGCCGTTATAATAATTCTATTACAATTTATTATAGTTTATAATGATCTCGACAATATATTATGTCCAGTGAAATTATTCACAAAAATGTTACTATGTAAAATAGTATCGATCTAACCTCAAGTTATTATTTGAGTTAAATTTAACTCGTAAGATGTAATAGGTATTATTTTCGGTATGCTTAATTCCTTATATCTATATTAGAATTTTAATGAATATTTAGGTATATCTAACTTATATTTTATCATGCATCATGATTATTGTTTATTGTTTTTAAATTAGTGTCATTTAATCTAGGCAAAAATAAGTCTTGTCATAAATATATAATTATGTTTTAATAAAATATTACGGTTATAAAACCTAATATAAGCAAATTTTATTTTATAGGTCTCTATAATTCTACTTAGCGATTTTTTAAAACGATTTTCTAATATATTATATGATATTTGTAACATTGAATATATATATCGTATACATCATTTAAAAGATATTAAGATAAATAGCTTAATAGGTCAATAGCTAATTACTTGGATAATTAAAAAAAAATTAAATTAAATCTAAAATTTATCTAAATATTATCACAAAATAAAATATTTTAATGATATTTATGGGGATCTATATAATTGCTATAGTACTATATTATAGTAAAATGTTTTAAAAATATAAATTAAATATCTAGAAATATTTTTTCACTTATCGTCTCTTGAATAGGTATATTTATTGGAAAAGAAATACTATCATTAGATTTATTAATTTGTAATTATTTGCAATATAGATAAACGGTACCTATATTATATTTTTGTGTTGAGTAATTAGGTACCAAGATTGTGTATTATAAATTTATAGTTAAAAAGTATTGATACAAACATTTAAACTAAATTTGTAGCTACATTTGCACATAATATATTATATTATACATTTTTAAATATTGTCTAAGTACTCAAGAATTATATAGTTTGAACAATAAGTGTTTATGATTCTCATTTTTATGGTGTGTACTTCATGATTATTTTTCAATGCCTCTTAAAACATTCTATTACCGCTTAAGAAAACGTCACGTCTGCAACTATTATCTCTGTTTTACTAACGTGCGACAAAAAATTTGCGTTTAGCAAAATCAATTTTGTATAGTAGTCTCGATATAAGTATAAATTTATTATCAAATTTAAAGTTAAGAACAGTATATCTATATTTAATGCTTTTTATGATGTTTTAACGTTTGAACGAGTTATGATTACGTAGAATATTGTAATTTAAAAATGTTCATTACTTCCATAATTACTAAAATATCTTATAAAATCAATTTAAAGTACAGATATTATTCTTACCTTAAAGTTTGATTATAGGTCAATTTACATTAATACTAAAGTTAAAACATAAAATTGGTTGTGCTTGATACGCAAATTTACTATGTTGAATGTTTGTAAGAACACATGTGACACATGCGAGTCTTATTACAACATATTACATATTTACTTAAAAATGTACTTATTCTTTGTTTTAATTGTAAATTTTGTATATATAATTATTGCTGTTAGAAAATTATAATAACATTGATAATATTATGACAATTTAATTTGTTATCTTGGGTCGTTCTAATCGTCTTATATTCCTATTCCAATTTATATAATATATTTAAACCAATCTTGGATTGTCAATGTTATTGTTATTATATAGTACATTTATTAAATAAAAATATATACTCCTGTTGCTCGAAATCTGTCCTCTAGAAAGGAAATAACGGCCGTTCTTTGTCATGTCTTTTCGCGACTAACTTTACTATTGTTTGTAAATGTCGATTTCTGATTATTGTTGTCCGTGATTCACATTTACTTTCCTTTTGTGCGCTATCATACCTAACGTTTATTTTCCTTATGAATGCAATTATAAAATTATTTAGACATTTCTTGTTAGTAACTAAGTTAAATACCATTGAACAAAATAAATAAGATATTGAGATTGATTGGAAAATTAAAATACAAAATTGTTTAATGTATTTAATATGTTGAATAATTAATATTTTATGAATATAACATCACGTATCTTTTTACGGAATAATATCCAACTTAAAATATTATTCTTGAAGTTATTTTTTTAAATTCGAATTATAG